ATGGAAATTTGGGGTGTCCAGGTGGGGTTTCCTGCTGCTTTTGAGCTTCTGGGGGGGGAATCCGCCCTTTTCCCTGTGGGGCCACTGCAGCCTCCTTGGGGCAGAGACTGAGCAGCCCAGAAGGGGGTTTGAGGGAGGCCTTGATGGAAGAGGGGAGGGCACAATTGGGGGCAGGTGAAGACCTTCCCTGCCCTCCAACCCTTCAGGCCCTGCAGAAGCTGCTTCTCTCCCTCTCAGTCGCTCCCTCATTCCACCTCCTGCCTCCTCTCCCACCATCTCCCCCTTCCTTCCCCCCTTCCTCCTCTGCCCCCCAGCTCTCTTCTTCCTCTTCCTTCCTTCCTTCTCCCCAGAGCCTCAGGTGGGAGCCTCCATGGGATCAGGGCCCTTGACTGAAGCCCCCTAACTCTCCTCCTCTGGGTCCCTTCCAGGCGCCTTCTCCCATTCCCTGAAGTATTTCTCCGTCGCCATCTCAGAGCCCAGTCAGGGGCTGCCCCACTTTGTCGTTGTGGGGTATGTGGATGATCAACTCTTCAGTTATTACGACAGTCACACCCGGAGGATGAAGCCTCGAGTCTCCTGGATAGAGAAGTATGTGGGGAAGGAGGATCCCCAGTACTGGGACAGAAACACCCAGATATTACGTGACACTGAGGAGTCGTTCAGAGGAAGCCTGGAGATTCTGAGGTATCGGTACAATCAGAGTGAAGGTGAGTGATGGGTCTGGTGGCTCCTCCGGCCCCATATTCCCCTCCCCAGGAACCAGAGGGGGGAAAGGGGGAGGTCCCTTCAAAGGGAAAAGCAGCCTCCACACCATTTAAAAAGTCTTTTTTTATATGTTTATTCTTTTATTTTAATCAATATAAGATTGTCCTTGCCTCCATAGCTGACATTTTCTTCCAACTGCAGTTAATGAAAACGTGTTTAAATTTATCCATCTGTCTGTCTGAATGTTGACATGGATATTTGTTGTGTCTGTCGCAGGGAAGGAGACTCGGGAGCCAGTGACTTAGTTCAGCTCTTTATTAAGTCCCGAGATCGGCTCGGGCTACAGAAGAAAAGCGGTGGCTTTTATTCTCTGGCTGCGGCGGCCGCGGCCAATGGCACCGCTTTGAATCTCCCGCGATTAGTTTCCACCAATCGCGGGGAATTCGCGGCGGGCCAATCAGTGCGGCTTGCTCAGCCAATCAGGTTGCCATGCATTCTGACCAATCACAGCGCGGCGCTTGCAAGTATGTTAATGGATCGTACAGAACACCCCTCCCCTCTTGGTGTGGTCCTACGTAACGTAGTCCCTTAAGTAGGCGGGGCTCCATACTTGCCTACTTGACCTGCGCAGGTTAGTTGCTGGTTGGCCTTCGGCCGGTTCGGTCGGGTTCTGTGTTGCTCTCTGCCTCGTCGATGGAACCGCCTGGAAGTGTGAGCCGGGCCTTTCGTTGCAGCTCCCTCCCAGTCTACCCGGGCTGGTCGAGCTGCTGTTGTCGCTGCTCCCGCTCGGTCTTTCCGGGCTGGTTGAGCTGGCCTGGCTGCTTCTCCCTGGTGAGGCTTCGAGCTGGGTGTCTGTTTCTGTCTCGTAAGTATTCCTGGTTTCTTTCTGGTTGGGGTTGGTTCCCGGGACCTTCCCTCCCCTCTTGGTTTGTGCTTGGGAGGTTTCCTTCTCTTTCTGGATGTCTGTCTGTGCTTGTTTGCGTGTCGGTTGTGGTTGTTCTTGATCTTATTTGATCGATGTGTCGTTTCCATTCTTGTCCGTCGGTTGTTTGTAGCCGGTACGATCGGGGACCTGTTGCCTGGGTTATCGTCGCCGGTATCCAGAGGGGGTCCCCTCTCAGGTTTTTTGCGTATACCGCGTCGCCTAGCGTAAATGTTTGGTGCCTGCTTGATGAATCGGTGGGTTTTTCGGGGTTGTATGTGGGGTGCAGCCTATCTAGGGGGGACCTTAGTTTCCTCCCCATTAGGAGTTCTGCGGGGCTTTTGTTGGTCGTTGTGTTTGCGGTTATGTGCTGGATGAAAAGAAGTTTATTTATTTTTTCCTGCATGTTTCCAGTCTCGATTTTTTGAATTGTTTTTTTCGTGAATTGGACCATTCGTTCCGCCCTACCATTCGCCGCCGGATGAGCCGGCGCTGTCAGGGCGTGCCATATTCCCCGTTCCGCTAGGAATTTCTCGAATTCCAGAGCGGTGAACTGTGGTCCGTTATCTGACACGACCACGTCTGGGAGGCCGTGGGTTGAGAATAGTCTGTTGAGTTCTCTGATGACGGCCTCGGTGGTGGTAGTTTTCATGTCGCTTACCTCCAGCCAGTTGGAGTAAGCGTCTACCGTTATGAGGAATGTGTGTCCTTTTGTGGGTCTGGCGAAATCTATGTGTATCCTGGACCATGGTCCCGTGGGGGTTTCCCATTCCCGGATTGGGGCGGCGGGTGGGCATGGTCTGGATTCCTGGCATTGCTTGCAGCTAGCCACCCAGGCTTCAATTTGCTTGTCCATCCCTGGCCACCAAGCGTAGCTTCTGGCCAAGGCTTTTGACCTGACAATTCCCGGGTGCCCCTCATGTAACAAGTCCAAGAATCTTTTTTGTAATTTTTCTGGGATTACCACCCTATCCCCCCATAATACACACCCCTTCTGCGTGGAAAGTTCCAATTGTTTGTTTTTAAAAGTCCTGAATGTCTCGTCGACGTCCTTTTCCGGCCAGCCCTTCTCCGCCCATTGTAATACCCGCGCCAGACGTTTGTCTTTATTGGTTTCGTGGGCAATGTCTGACGTGGTTAGGGGGAGGTTGGGTATGGCCTCGATGCTCAAGGTGGATGTTGTGGGTGCTGGGTCGGCGTCCAGGTCGGGTAATGGTGTGCGGCTCAAGGCGTCTGCGTGTGTGATCGTTTTGCCGGGTCGGTGGGTCAGCCGGTAACTGTAGGCGGTGAGGAACTCAGACCACCTTGTCATTCTTGGGGATAGAATGTTCGGGGTGGCCTTGTTCCCTGCCAGGATGCCCAGCAATGGCTTGTGGTCCGTGATGATGGTGAATGTCCTGCCGTAGAGGTACTCGTGGAATCTTTTGACGGCGGCGATGATTGCCAGGGCTTCCTTGTCGAGTTGGCTATAGTTCCTTTCCGGCTTCAACAAGGTTCTTGAGTAAAAGGCGATGGGTGCTTCATTTCCGTTTGGGAGTGTGTGGCTGAGGATCGCCCCGATCCCGAACGGTGATGCATCGCACGTGACTGTCAGCGGGAGGGTCTCGTTGTATTGGATGAGGACGGCATCCGATGTGAGTAGGTCCTTGGTTTGGTTGAAGGCAGTTTCCTCTCGTTTCCCCCAGGTCCAGGTGGCTGTTTTATCAAGCAGCCTATGCAACGGTTCCGCCGCGGTCGCCTTTTGGGGTAGGAAAACATTGTAGAAATTAATCAGCCCAAGAAATGCCTGCAGTTCTGTTTTGTTCCTTGGTCTGGGGGCTTCTTTGATGGCTCTGATTTTTTTTCCGGTTGGGTGAATGCCGTGCCAGTCTAGGAGATATCCTAGGAACTCGACCCTCTCTGTATGCAGCTGGCATTTTTCTTTTTTGACTTTAAGCCCGGCCTCTTTGAATTTTGTTAGTACCTCCCTCAGGCGACCCTCCAGTTCTCTTTGGTTGGCTGCTGACACCAGTACGTCATCGAAGTAGGGCACCACCCCCTTGATTCCTTGTAGGAGTCTTTCCATGAGGCTCTGGAAAATTCCTGGGGCTACGCTGACTCCAAACTGGAGTCTCTTACAGCGGAAGGCCCCCCGGTGGGTTACTATGGTCTGCGCCTCAGCAGTTTCTGCGTCGACCGGTAGCTGTTGATAGGCTTGTGCCAGGTCGAGCTTCGCAAAAACCTTGCCTCCCCCCAGTGAGTGTAGGAGGTGCTGTACTACTGGGATGGGGTAGGCGCTTTGTTGTAAGGCGCAGTTAAGGTTGGCCTTATAGTCTCCACAGATTCTCACCGACCCATCGGGCTTGACTGGGGTGACTATCGGGGTCTCCCACCAGGCGTGATCAGTTGGCTCTAGGACCCCCTGTTTGATGAGCTTGTCTATCTGCTCATCGATCTTAGGCCGGAGTGTGAAAGGTACCCGCCGTGGTTTTAAACGTATCGGGGGAATGCTGGGGTCTAGACTGAAGGAAATAGGGGGCCCTCGGTACTTGACTAGGGTGCCGTCGAACACTTCCTGGAAGTCCCTTGCGAGTTGCTCTTCCCAGTCTGCCTCTGCGACGTGGTCGATGCCCGTTACTTCGATTCCGAGCGGCGCGAACCACTGTAGTCCCAAAAGGCTGGGGCGGTCTCGGTCCACGATTGTCAGGGGAAGCTTTGCTGTGCGCCCTTTGAATGTCACTTTGAAGTGTCCTGTTCCGACTACCGGGATGCAGTTTCCTTGGTAGTCTTTAAGGATTAACTTCTGGCTTTCCAGCCCCCTCTTGTGGATTTTGGGCACCAGGCGCTTGATTTCCTGCCATGCAACCATGGAGAGGTAGGACCCGGAGTCCACCTCCATTTTGCATGGCTTGCCCTCGATGCCCACTTCCACGTATACCTTCCGGGCGTCTGCGCTTGATGAATGGCCGATGATGACTGTTTGGTGGGTCTCCTCTCTCCTCCGGTTCTCGCCGTCCCGTCGGCCCTGTCCGTCCCGGTTCCAACGACTCTCGGCCTGTCGGTCTCTGGGCCTGGCGGGGGTGCCGTCTCGTCTCCGGCCGCTGTTGTCTCGTCGTCGGGGGCTGTAGGCTTTCTTGAGGCGGCAGACTCGGGCGATGTGGCCTCTCTTATCGCAGTGCTGGCAGATCGCGTTGAAGAACCGGCACTCCGATTGAGGGTGGTCGCCTCCGCACCCGGCACATTGGGGCCCCGACTTACGACTCCGTCGATCGCGCCAGTCCCGTTCTGTTTGGAGTCGATGGATGTCCTCCTCTTCATCCGTGGTGTCAGAGGCGGAGTCGAGGTCGCCATGGTGGGTGGTGGTTTCCCGGCGGCTTGCTTCTGGATGCGTCTCGGTTGTCGTGCTCGCCTCGGAGGTCGTGGCTCGGTCCCCGTTGTCCTGTCTCTGCATTTGAGCCGCCGACTTCCGGGTTGCCTCGGCAGCGGTGGCTTCGGCAAGGGCGTCGGCGAGGGAGATGTCTCCTTTTGCCATCAGCCGGCTTTGTAGGACCGGGTCTTTGAGCCCGCGGACGACGCGGTCTCGCAGCGCCTCGTCCATGTCCGTGAAGCCGCACATGCCCCCTAGATTCCGTAGGTCTGCCACGAAGTCGCTGATGCTCTCACCCGACTTCTGGTCCCTCTGGTAGAAATCGTGCCGCCTGATGAGGGTGGGCACGGCGGGAGCATAGTGGCCTCGGAGCAAAGGTTCGAGGTTAGCCCAGTCCATCGCCTTCACGTCCTTGGGTTTCGCAAGGGCTTTCGCCATCTTAAACACTGCGGGCCCGCAGTGTGTCAGGAAAACAGCCCTTTTTTTCTGCCCGTTTGCGTCCTTGAGGTTGCTACTCTCTAGGAACATCAGGAACCAATCAATGTACGATTCCCAGCCCTCAGTAGCTTGGTTAAAGGGTGCGGGCGGTGTGAGGCTGGCCATCTCGTCGGTCTCGTTCCCTCAGGACTGCGTGCTCGGTGGGGATCAGTTGCGGAATCCCACCTTCGTCGCCAGTGTTGTGTCCGTCGCAGGGAAGAAGACTCGGGAGCCAGTGACTTAGTTCAGCTCTTTATTAAGTCCCAAGATCGGCTCGGGCTACAGAAGAAAAGCGGCGGCTTTTATTCTCTGGCTGCGGCGGCCGCGGCCAATGGCACCGCTTTGAATCTCCCGCGATTAGTTTCCACCAATCGCGGGGGATTCGCGGCGGGCAAATCAGTGCGGCTTGCTCAGCCAATCAGGTTGCCGTGTGTTCTGACCAATCACAGCGCGGCGCTTGCAAGTATGTTAAAGGATCATACAGAACAATAGTAATATAAACTGAGGTAAAAAGGGACCAAAATCTCCCCTCCCCCCATGGAAGATGGAAGGTCCTTAGTGGATTTCCTGCTGTGGGGGAGGAAGGGAATCACAAGTCTCCCCCCCCCAAAAAAGAGGCAGGTGGATCCTAAGGAGATCCTGGGGGAAGCAGGTCCTCGTCCTTCTCTCTGTTTCCACCCCAGAGAAATGAGGGATCGAGTGGAGATCCACCTGGGGAGACTAGATCCCTTTCCTTCCCCCCCTTGTTGGAGGGAGGAGTGGGGCCCAAATGCCAGGAGCTTCTTCTCATCCTCCAGTTGGAAGGAGAGGCCAGGAGGCCCAAATGGGGTGGGGGGCTCTTGGAGGGGGGGTCACAGGGCCAGGATCCTCCCAATCTTGAGGGGGAAAGAGAGAAAAGAAAGGATCCTCCATTTGGGGCCCTGCAAGAGTCTCTCAGAGCCATCATGGCTTCCCATCCTTGGTCCCTCAGGCTGAACTCCTGCCCTGCCCTCTTGGTGGGGCTGCCCTGGAGGGGGAGACTCTTTCTTCAGCAGCCCCTCCCCCCATTCTGCCATCTTTTGGGGTGGACTATATTCCCCTTCAAGGAACCTTATTTAGGAAAGGGATGCAAGGAAATCTGGGTGTAAAGATAGGCTGCTTTAGGCTGAGGAAAATCTTCTCCACAAACCTCAGCCATTTCCCCTCCTTTCATCCCAAGGAGGGGCAGCCCCGCCCTTTTCCTCCCCTCTCCCTCCAGGGAGACCCCAGAGCTCCTCCAGTCCTGCCCCTGACCCCCCAGGATCCCCCCAGATCCCTCCAGGCCCCCTGCTGGCCTTCCAGGGGAGCAGAGCTGCACCCAGAGGGCTCCCCCTGGTGGAGGAAGGAGGAAGGAGAGCAGCCAGAGTGGAGGGGAGCCTCCTTTCCAGGCTAAAGAGCCCCAAAAGTCCCAACCTTCCCTCAAAGGGAGGCTCCTTCCACCCTCCCATCACCTGAGTCGCCTCCTCTGGACCTTCCCCAGCTCCCTCCGGTCCTTTTCTGGGGTCTTTTGAGCAGAAACTGCAGAGAATATTCCAGATGTGGAGGCAACCTTGATTCATGTCAAGGTTTATGACATTAGCCTCTCTGTGTTTTCAATACTATTTTAATTATCCCTGATATCCAGTTTGCCCTTTAAATTTTTTATAAAATTTGTACTAAGCTTTTTGAACAAAAATCAAAAACCAATGGAAGGTAACCTAAAGTAAAGGAGATAAAAGAAAGAAATCAAAGAAAAATAAAAAAGTACAAGAAAAGAAAACAATTAAAGAAAATAAATAAAGAAAATATCAGTGATTTCTGATATTCTTCATGGCAGTTCTAAATATAATTGTGTTTTAACCCCTCTTAAGCAGCCTTCCTCAACCTTTTGACCCTGGAGGAACCCTTGAACTATTTTTCAGGCCTCAGGGAAGCCCTGAACATCCAGGCTCAAAGATGGGCTGAAATTGTTTTATGCATAGACCTGAAGAGATGCATTAATAGTGTTCTTACACTAAATATAAAAAAAGGAAACTTGCCTTTTCAATGTGATCCCTGTGCTTTCTTTTTCCTGCAGAAATATTCAAATCTGTGCCAAATTTGAGATAAGAAAATACAGATTTTATCTTCAAGTGAAATAAGACAATTTCTGTCTTTGCTTTTGATGCTTCTGAAATAAGACTGAGCTTGTTCTCAGGAGTTGAAAACAGCAGCCAAATATTTAGGGCCTTCCTGTGAATGGCAGGAGATTCTTCTTGGGCAGAAATCCAGAACTATTTTTCCCATGGGGAGATCAGGGAATCTCCTCTCGAGGGAAGGATCGGACTGCAGCTCACGAGGATCTTCCTCTTCCTCCAAAGGGAAGTTTTCAGGCTGAGCAGAAGATATATAGAGAAAGGATCCCTCACCCGTCATTCCTGGGTGTGGAAAGGGAGGGAAAGGGCTGGTCAGTTTAGTTCAACTGTACTTACAGGTAGTTTCTGCTTAGATTTGAGAGTTTCTGGCATCCTTTCTCTCTCTCAAGGCCAAGCAGAAGTAGAAACATTTCAGGATTTCCATTTGTTTCTTTTTTTTTCAAACATTCAGTGTTCTCCTTAAATCGAAGAATCTGGTCACTCGAAGACGAAATATCTTCTCCAGGGCCTTGCAGAGCCTGTAAACTTCAAGCTCCTTTCAAAGGTCAATAACCCTTTGGGTGTCCAGATCAGACTGGGCCACTTGCTTCTGTGGCTGAGGAAAATATTCCTTTGTGGCCCTTCAAGGCTTCATTCTCACATTGCACTAAACCATGGTTTGTTTCAGGTTAGCCCAAAGTGGGAACCAGCCCTTGTGATGGTGCTATTTCTGGATATAGACCAAGATTTATGGTCACAGGGATCCCTGAAAACTTTGGTGTAGATCGACCAGATCCTCTTTGAGGCCATGAGATTCTCAGTCCCTCTTAGCAGCCGCAGATTTAGGCAACTTTTCTCTCCCTCTGGGATCCCTTCCTTTCCCCCCAAGAGTCTCCCCTGCAGAGGAACAGCAGAAGGAAGGATGGAATTGTCTCCGTCCCTCCGTTTATTCTGTGACTCCCCCTTTTCTGGGTCTCCCTTGGGATCCTCTGCTGTCTTTTCCAGCTTCTCCTTTTTCCTGGGGAGGTTCAGGGGCTCCATCCTGGGGGGGAAATGCAGGGAGGGAGGTCGAGGGAGGGGAGAAGGGCGGATAGTGATGGGGGCTTTCTTTCCCTTGAACTCTAGGGAGGAAATGGGGGTGTCAGTGCCTGTGTCAAAGTCCCTGCAGGGAGGGAGGGTCTCTGTCTATCTTGAGGACTCCCCAAACCATCCTCCTGTCCCTATTTCAGGCTTTCACATAATACAGGCGAGGTATGGCTGTGAGCTTCGGAGAGACGGGAGCAAAGGAGGGTTTGTACAGGATGGATATGATGGGAGGGACTTCATCTCCTTCGACAAGGAGACCCTCACCTGGGTGGCTCCCGACCCCCAGGCCCAGATCACCCAGAGGAAATGGGATGCTCTTCCAGCACGGAATGAGTACTTTAAGTCCTACCTGGAGAAGGAATGCATTGAATGGCTGGAGAAACACCTGTCGTACGGGAAAGAGACGCTGCTGAGGACAGGTGAGCATCTGGATCCAGGTTGGACTTTCCTCCTTTATGGCCGGATTTCTCTCACACATTCAGCCCCTTTGGGACCCTTGTCTGGAGCCTGTTTGCCCTGGTGGGAATCCTCCTCCTCCCCTTCCAGCCCCTCTTGCAGGACACGGGAAGCCCCGTTTGGTTCCCATTGCCAGGCAGCCATTCAGTGGACCAGGAAATGCAGCCTCTCCCTGGCAGGAAAAGCCCTTCAGGGTGTCTTGTTCACTGCCCACCATGAGGCCACCATTTGGGGCTATTCAGTGAAACCCCCATTAGCCAAACTGTAGTCAAGAGGGATAGTCTCCCTTAATTTCCCCCCCTGAACTCTCCTTCCCCACCACATCCCACAGGGGGCTCCCTCCCAGCCTTGCACCTGATTGGGGCACCTCCCATGGCCACCACTGTGGGGGCTCCTCTTCTGCCCTTCCTAAGACGTCATCAGAGCCCCCACTTGGGCAAAGAAGCCCATGGATGAGGGGTTCTCTTTCCAGGGTGGGGGGATCCCCCATAGTTTGTGTAGATCTTTCTCTTAAACCTCAAACAGGTTCCCTCAATTCTGACTTAGTGACTCTTTCCTCAAAATGGCCCCCTCCCCACCTTCAGGAAGACCCCCTCACCCCACAGGGGGTCACATTATAACCTTTTCCTGTGATTTGTTATTAATTCACCATCTAGACCACCCCTCCCCCTCTTGGCTCTTTGATCCCTCCAGGATCAGCTGGTTGAGATTAGGATCAATGGGGGAATCAATTAAGTGCTGGGAGATTTTCCTTCCTCTCTAAGTTTCTCACCCCCCTTCCAAGCTCTGGAGCGGCTGAGAGTTAATTCTGGGGGTGCCGTTTCTGCAGAGCCCCCAGACGTGACGCTGGACAGAGACAAGACAGAGGTGGAGGATGGGATGGAGACGCACATCTGCCAGGTCCACGGCTTCTACCCCAGGGAGATCGATGCCTTCTGGACGAGGGACGGGGAGGTCTGGCTGCAGGACACCCTCCATAAGTCTGTGGCCCCCAACGCGGATGGGACCTACCACTACTGGCTCAGCATCCGGATCGACCCCAAAGAGAGGAGCCGCTATCGGTGCCACGTGCAGCACGACAGCCTGCAGGAGCCTCTGGACCTGGCCCTGGAAGGTGAGAGGCTGCAGGGAGGGGAAGGCTGGGCTCTTTGGCAGGCTGGGAGGTGGTGGGAGAGGAATCTGGCCCCAGGTGTGTCCAGGTGTGAGCATACCTGAGCTTTCATCCATTGGTTTTTCCAGTGTTTGAGGTTGGTGCAGCTGCAGGGACCAGAGCATAGAACTGACTTCAGGGGATGGAAAGTACAGAATCCCATCACAAGAGTTGGCCGATCCTGATGAAATGCCCTCAGATCCTCTCTTAGGCCTTCCCCGTTTCTTGCCCCCAGCACCAGAAATAGATTTCCTTTTGTTCACAATTCCTAAAGTACAAGAATCAGGAGGAGTCTGGTTGCCCCTTTTCTGAAGGAAAATTCTGACTAAAATGGATGAAGTGCAGCCGACTTCAGGAAATGCAGAGAGTGGCTGGACTGATGCATCAGGAGTCAGAAAAGAGGCTAAGAAGTCTGAGTTTTATTTCCCATCAGAGACTAACAGGGTTTCCTGCTTTAAAGGTCAAAAGGTCACTGTGTGTTGCTTCTCTAAGAAAGAAGTTGCACCTTATTTTATGATCGGATATGTGAATTTCTGAGGCTCAGCATAAAACCCAAGGGAAAAAGCCCTCTTTCAAAGAGTTCTGTATATGCTCAGAAGTCTCCTTAACGTACACTGGACTTCCAAAGTGGCAAAATTCAAATTCAATTTTTTTATTGAAGTTTGTCACCAAGATAAAAGAAATATTCAAATGTAATTATTATGCTGATATCCCAGGCAAAATAAAATATTTCTTTTATTGTTGTTGTTTATAGCAAGCACCAAATTCACAAGTGGAATGATTGCTATTCAATGGGAATCCTGAATTTTGTGCAAGAGAAATTTAAATTTAAAGTTCCCTCCTCAAATCTCCTTCCCCCCACCCCCCAAAGCAATACCAATTTATAATGCCTTGGTAAGACCATCCGTGGAATTCTTCATCCAGTTTTGGTTGCCACGATATAGAAAAGATGTTGAGACTCTGGAAAAAGTGCAGAGAAGGGCAACAAAGATGATTAGGAGCCTGGAGGCTAAAATCTATGAAGAGCAGTTGCAGGAATTGGGCATTTCTAGTTGAATGAAAAGAAGGACTGGGGGTGACATGATACGTTCCAATATCTCAGGGGCTGCCGCAAAGAAGAGGCAGTCAAGCTATTCTCCAAAGCACCTGAGGGCAGGACAAGAAGCCATGGGTGGAAACTAAACAAGGAGAGAAGCAACCTAGAACTGAGGAGAAATTTCCTGACAGGGAGGACAATTAATGAGAGGAATGGCTTCCCTTCAGATGTTGTGGTTCCTCCATCACTGGAAGCATTTAAGAGGAGACTGGAGAGTCACTTGTCTGGAATGGTTTAGGGCCTCTTGTTTGAGCAGGGGGTCAGACTGGAAGACCTCCAGGTCCCCTCCAACTTTGTTATTCCGCTATTCTATTTCTGCCATTTGTGGGTCCATCCAGAAGCTGGATATCACCGTATTCCATTTTCATGCTGAAGTTCTGGAAGCACAAAATACAATTTTATGCTATTTCTGGACTGGCCAAAGAAATGAAAGTGTGTACTTAACAAAAAGACTTGTTTACATTATTGTGTTGGGGATGTTTTCGTTTTGTAAGCTGCTGAGAGTCACAAGGTGGCAAAGGGCTGCTTTTGAGTCGAAAAGCCAAAGATGAATCCAGCTGCCTTCATGCTGGGCTGGTGGGAGAAGAAGGCAGCGTCAGGAGGACACGTCCTCTAACAATGGTTAGCAAGGCTCCTTCATGTTACCTTGAGAGGGACACAAAAATGAGCTCATGGATATTTTAATTTTGGGTACTTCTAGCTATCACTTCTTTAGGTCTCTTCCCTGATTGGGAAGATTGTTTGGGCTTCTCCTTTAATGATCTGCTCTTTCTCCCAATTCAGAACCAGCCAATTCAACGCCCAATCTGGGGCTCATCATCGGCTGCATTTTTGGTGGTGGTCTTGCCCTGGTGTGTGTGATTCTTGGGATCGTGAAATTTTATAGTAAGTATCTGTTTTTTGCGGGGGGGGGGGGTGATGGAAGGACCCCCTTTGGGGAGCTTCTTCTGGGCTTCCTTCTGTCCTGTTTTCGTAGCCCTCTGAGATCTCAGCCTCTCGCTGGGACTCCCGTCTCCATTCAGCTGAGTCTGAGATTCAGGCAGTCCTGTCTTCTCCTGAGTTGGGAAGAGGCTTCCCAGTTCTGTCCTTTTCGAAGAATTTGGTCAAAGAGCAGCAGAGAAGGATTTCCATGAAAATCTTCCTCCCCTCCCAGCTGCTGTTGCTGCTGCTTCCCCCAATTCCCCTCCATCCATCTCGGAGGCAGCAGGTCTCTCTTGGGGCAAATCAGGTGGTGAAGTCTGAAGATCTTCCTGTGACTGTTCATAGGAGCGACCGGGAGGGGTTGTGGCTAAACAGGGGTGAAAGTCTCTCTTGGGATCTCTTCTGCATACAGAGGGAGAGGTTGGATGAACTCTGGTGGGTTCTTTCAAGCTTTGACTGGTTTTTGTCCTTGCAGACGGGCATCGAAAAGGCTACAGAGCAGCAGGAAATGTATGATTGTCCCTATTACAAGATACCTCCAATGCAGAGTGGGACTCAGGGGCAGCATCAGTTGAGATGTATGTGTGTCCAAACACAAAAGAAATCCAGGAAGAATCCTACTATCTTCCTCTTCAAGATTTAAGTTGTGGAAGGAGAGCACCTTTTCATGTCAGTCAGGGAAGTGGAGACCCCCAGGAGAAACATCTGGGACAAGGAACCCTCAAGAAGGTGAGAAGACCCAGCTGGGTGGAAGTTCCCTCTGGCTGAGAAGCTGCTTTGTTTCCCAAGAAGGTGGAAAGGAAAGTCTTGGCCATCCCGTGGTCAGAAGGAGCCATTTTGAGAATGTAGGATCCCAGAAGTTTCCCCAAGCCACAGAGATGCCAAAGAGGAAGACTCGAGATGAGGCCTGCAAAAATAACAGCTTTTTTAATTCTTTGGCCAAAGCAAAAAGTCTGGGTGAATACTATGTCCAAAACCTACAGACAAAATGCATGTAAGGAACAGCCACCCCTTGTGAGAATGGCTCAGAGTATTATATACATTGTACGCTGATAGAAACTAAGTTTATCCAATCGGAGACAAAGGTTCCTTATTAATGTGGGCAATGTCTTGCCCATGCCTTCCCCTTCCTTATCCATGGAGCGTTCTTTGTCCGTGCTCTGTCCATACTTGGTTATTTTACACAGTATCCCTTGTCCTTGTGTGTTTCTGCTCCTGGGCAGCCTCCTCTTATCTATGAAGCAAGATGTTCATGGGAATTGTCTCCAAGGATGTGCCTAACTCTGAAGCAAATTGCAGAGGCGAGAAACCAGATAGAAAAGGTTACGATTCTCTTACAGAACGAATTCCTAACAAACGATTCCCATCCCTAGCAAAATAGTCGAAGCAACTTCTTTTAACAGATGCAAAGAGCAAAGGTTAGATTGATTCATGCCAATATGCCCTTTCAAGAAGGAAGGAGCATTGGTGGGTGCCAGCTGGATCTCCTCTGGATCTGCCACCACAAGGCTCTCCATGTATGAACTGATTGGGAAAAGAGACTCTGGAGCCCTCTGAAGGTTGTGCTCCCTCTGGGTCTGGTTCCACCAGAATCTATTTGGATAGTTTGGGACAATTGTGCTAGGCAGTCCTGACCATCTGAAGCAAATGAGTGAAGGGATCTTAACTGTTTACCTCCCACTTGAAAACCCCTTTCCCGATAAATGGATCCAGAGCAAGGAGGGGCCTTACCCAGAGCGGCCATATTCCTAAAAACCTCCTTCCCTGCGCAAGGCCTTCTGGCTGGGATCCAGCAGCGCCCACCCCTCCTTCGTGAAGTCTACACCTGCCTTTTCCAAAGGAACAGAGCTCTTGAAAAAGAGAGAAAATCTTCCTTAGTAGAGACCATCTTGTGACAGGCTTGCGAGTTGTCTCTCTTGTTGTACTAAAAATAAAAATAAAAACGGAGCTTTGCCAAATACCAAATGGACGTTTCTTGTGGGATGGATTTATGTTGGATGTCCATATACAGCTCAACAGCATTATTGTGTGCTTCTTCTTGTTATTTCCCCCCTTAAAGTATTTCAGTTTGTTTTTCAACTAAATTGTACAACTTATATGCTATATTAAATGTGGGAAAAGTTCTGAACTGGTTGATCTTGGTCGGATTTCCTTACATTTTAAAAACCTGGCATTTTAAGAGGGGTGGGTAGACTTTTTACATCCACTGTAACCTGCTTTCCCCGTTGAGTTTCCTTGCTGGAGGTGTCAGCCTTCAAGATCTTCCTCCTTTCCTTTGCTTCTTTCTGGCTGCCATGAGTAACGGGGGGTGGAAGGGGGAAATGTATGGGATGTAAGCTGCAAATGTTGCTAACTAATATTGTATAAACTGGGGAGGGTTTCTCATTCCTGCTTAGCTTTCTCTTCTCTGCGCAACTGCAAACCTTTATCTGAGTAAGCCAAGGTCAACTAATCATCACCACCTGGAGATGTCCGCATGATGTAGTTCACAACTTTTAATTGGAAGAACCGTTTGAACTGTTGGGGGTGGGAACATTTCACTCCCTTGATATATGTGATGTGCGTGCCTATTTACCCAGATTCAGAATTTTCTTGTTGCTACCACTGACTTCCAGTAAAAGACATCTTTTCTCTAATTACAAGAGTCTAAGTATTTCTTTCCTGGATTTTGAACGGAGCACCAGCTGACAGGAGGTCCCCCTGGGAAGGTTACAAATGGTGATTCCCCTGACCGCAAGGATGGTCCAGAGGTCACAAGTGCAAGGACCCCGTCATAAGTCACTTTTTTCAGCTGAGCTGCAACTTTGGTCATTAAACGGATGGTCATTAACTCAAGGACTACTTGTAAAGGCAGGGAACTCCAGACAGTGTTCAATTTCCCATCACTCGCTTGGCGACTGTTCCACATTATGGCAACGTTGAAAACACTGAGCGGTCCTCGCACTTACAACCATCACAAAGTCCCCACTGTCACATCATTGTGATTCAGGTGCTGGGCAACTGTCACACAAGTATAATGGTGGTCCTGAGTTCACACAATGGCCATTTGTGACTTTCCCTTCCAGCTTCTGACTAGCAAAGTCAATGGGGAAGCCGGCAGAGAAAGTCATAGTCGTGATGTCTCGCTTAACGACCAGGGATTCACCCCATGTGCTCACGTGAAGTTTCACTTAATGACCACACTGCTTAATGACAACTTTTCCAGTCTCCATTGCGGTACTAAATGTAAGAGGACTGGGTGGAAGAACAGTTTAGGATACATGCAAAGCTTTTATAAAAAGGATAATTTAACATAAAGTAAATTTAAAGAGAAAAGGCAAGAAAACACAAGTGATTTTGGGTGAGATTTTTTTTAAAAAGGAAGGTTTAAAAATTCCCAAACAGGACAACTATTACCCACCAAATTAAACTTCCATAGAGGCAGTTATCTATGAAAGTAAATAGATAAT